TTTTAATGTTGTGTACATTACTTACCCTTCTTAGTTCCCCCCACCCCCCATGTCAATCCTGTTTTGTAACAGTGGCACTATGCAGTATTTGTCTTTTTGTGGCTGAGACATTTCATTCAGCATAATGTCTTCCATGGTCACCCATTTTGTATAACATTTCATGAGTTCTTTGTTTTTCAGTGCTGCATAGTATTCCTTTGTGTGAATATACCATACCTTCTCTGTCCATTCATTTGTTGAAGGGCACTTTGGTTGTTTCCAACTCTTTGCTATTGTGAACAAAGCAGCAATAAACATGGGTGTGCATATATTGGTTTGGGTCTCAGTTATGGTTTCTTTAGGGTAAATTCCCAGTAGTGGAACTGCTAGGTCAAGTGGTGTATCTATTTCCATTTTTTTGAGAAAGTGCCTTCCATCGTGGTTGCACCATTTTACACTCCCACCAGTGGTGAATAAGGGTTACAGTTTCTCCACAATCTTGCCAGCATTTGTTCTTTGCTGCTCTGTTGAATTTTGCTGTTGTTAACTGCAGTGAGATGATACCTCATAATTGTTTTGAATTGTATCTCTCTTAGAGCTAGGGATTTTGAACATTTCTTCATATGTTTGTTCACCATCTGAATGTCTTCTTTGCTGAAGTGTCTGTTGGGTTGTTTACCATTATCTTGTTGTGGCGTTCGAGTATTCTGTAAATTCTGAATATAAGTCCCTTATCAGACATGTCATTATCAAATTTTTTTCCCCAGTCTGTGACTCCCTTTTTACCCTGTTGGAGAGGTTTTTGGATGTGCATAGGGATTTAATTCTTAGAAGGTCCTGTTCATCTATTTTATCCTCTCCTGGTTGTAGGTTTTTCAGGATACTTGGAAGACTGTTCATGTTGTGGATTAGTGCGTCTAGGGTTCTTCCAAGCTTTTCTCTAATGAAGTTTATAGAGTCTTTGGTTTTAGTTCTAGGTCCTTAATCTACTTTAAGTTGGTTTTTGTGTATGGAGTGAGGTGTGGGTCTTGTTTGAGTTTTCTGCAGATAGTTTTTCAGTAGTGCCAACACCATTTGTTAAAAAGGCTGTCATTTCCCCATTTAACTGATTTTACCTCCTTGTCAAAAATCAGTTGAACATAGGTAGATGGGCTGATTTCTGGATTCTCAATTCTATTCCATTGATCTATGTGTCACTGTGCCAGTACCAGGCTTGTTTGACCACCATGGCAGTGTAGTAGGATTTGAAATCAGAGAGGAAGATGCTCCTACCTTGTTTCTTTTTAAGGAATTCCTTGCTTATTCGGGGTCTCTTTTCATTCCAAATGAAATTGGAGATTGCCTTTTTTATCTCATTGAAGAGATAATTATACTATTTTCTTTACAAAAATTATTTGGTATCTCAATAAGAGATAAAATAGAAAATTGGTGTCTTGGTCTTATTTAATATATCTTAAGCTCTTATGGTCTCTCTGGAGACTAAGGTGCATCTGATACAGCCCATGGTCTTTGCTATCACTTGTTATGCATCAGAGAGTTAGACAGTGACTAAGGAGGATAAAAGGAGAATTGAAGCCTTTGAGTTGTGGTGAAGAAGTATTGAGCTGGAGAAGAGTATTGAGGGTACCATGGACTGCTAGGAAAGCAAACAGATTCATCCTGGAAAGGATAAACCAGGGGGCTCCTTGGAGGCAAGGATTCTGAAGCTCCATCTGACATACTTTGGACATACTGTAAGGAGAGACTCGTCCTTGGAGAGGGACATCATGCTTGGAAGGGTGGAGGGACAGCGCAGGAGAGGAAGGCCCTCTATGAGGTGGATTGATTCAGTGACTGGGATAATCGGGATGGGAGTGTCAGAGAGTGCAATTGGCACAGGACAGAGCAGAGTTTAGGGCTGTTGTACATAGGGTCGCTGTGAGTTGCAAGCAACTCGACGGCACATAACAACAACAACAACAAGCTTTTATGGGAGATAAGATTATAAGTACCACTACATTTTTTAAATAGTGGAAAGCAAAGAAATGTAGATGAAAGAGAGGCTTCTAATATTTTTACTTCAACTTTTGACATTTTTCTTAGACATTGTTGGAGAATCTTTGTATATTCCTTAAAATAAAAATAGTAAAGATTTAATAATTTGTAGATATTATAAATATATATTAGATTGTATATTTAATGCCTTTGTACTGAGCTAGTTTGGCCCCTTTGATTTTCTGACTCTAGCTCTTTACACATTTCATTATAATACTTTACTTTGTCTTCCTGCACTGCCCTTTGAAATCTTTTGTTCAGCACCTTAATATCTTGATTTCTTCCCTCTGCTTTGGCTTCTCAGCACTCTAGTCTCTTTAAACAGTCTCTTTAAAGAGCTTTAGTTTGCTTGGCTCCCCGAGCAACACTCTTGGCACCAGCAGCCAGGAAATTAAAAGAAATACTGTGTTGGGAAAGTCTGCTGTCAGAGGCCTCTCCAAAGTACTGAAAAGCAGTGATGTCAGCCCAGAGACTAAGGTGCACCTGCCATGGTCTTTGCAATCACTTGCTATGCAACAGAGAGCTGGCCAATAACTAGGGAGGATAAAAAGGAGAATTGATGCCTTTGAGCTATGGTGCTAGAGAAGAGTATTGAATATATCATGGACTGCTAAGAGAATGAACGGTTCATCCTGGAGAGGGTTAAACCAGGCTGCTCTTTGGAGGCAAGGATTCTGAAGCTTCTTCTGACATACCTTGGACATGTTACAAGGAGGGATCAGTCCTTGGAGAGAGACATCATGCTTGGGAGGTGGTGGGACAGTGCAGGAGGGGAAGACCCTCGATATGATCAATTGCAGTGACTGGAGGAATGGGGGTGGGTGTGTCAGACGGTAAGATTGACACAGGATAGAGCAGGGTTTATGGCTGTTGTACATAGGGTTGCTAGGAGTCGCAGGCAACTTGACGGCACATAACAACAATACTGAACGTTAATCTTGTGAAGGTTTCTTGGAAAGAGTTGAGGCTAAATCAGTTTTAGAAACTGCATAGTCAGTTCTTTTTCATAAACTATCTTGTTCCTTATAATACTATTTGTAATTGTTATAAACAATTTCAATACTCACAGCTAAGGAAAACCAGAATGGTGCCCAAGCTGTGCAGTGGTTAAGGAATGAACAAAATCTCTGCCTTCTGACATTCAGTTTGGAAGATGTGTTACAGAATGAGAATGATGCATAAGTATAGTTTGTATGTGAAAAAATCTATATGCCTCTGCCAGTAAATCGTGTGTAATAGAAGTGTATTTTTGTAATTTATGAGTAGAGATAGTTGCTTAGAAAAGGAATGTGGGTTCAGGCTGATGAATAAAGGTCTCTTTTTGAAACATCTGATGTCTGAATTTTTAAAGAAAGGACTATCTTTGTGTATTATTTATTAAAAAATTAAATACAGAGAATATACCTAAAAGTACTCAGAAAATCTTTTCCTTTCCTTCATTGGAGATACCAGTCCTACTAAATTCCAAGTGCCTTTTTTTTGTCATCAATGATTTTCGCTCTTTCTCTCATTGACATTGAGTCATAATGGACTTAATCCTCCAGAAGTTTCCTAGGTTATAAATCCCATGAGAGGAGGTTGTCCATCTTTCTCCAAAAGAATTGCTGGTGGACTTGAACCACCAGGGAGGCTTGGCCTTTGAGTTGGCAGCACTGCTCCCTATAGTGTTAACTGCTAAAAAACAAAAAACCTGCCAGAATGAACTCATAGTTAACTTCCAGCAGGCATCTGGAGACTTGTCAGTCCCATGGGAGGAGATTGCCTAGTGTTCTCCCAAGTTGCTTATAGTGGATTGGAACCACCGGAAAGATGCTACTTCATAAAGTCATTTTAAAGGCAGTCTAAATCAGAGCAAGTTCTCAGGAGACAAGCTTATTATATACTGATCCAGGAGACAGCAAAAAAATTTGAACCTGCAAAGGAGAGGAAGACCCTCAATGAATTGTATTGACATGGTGACTGCTGCAATGAGCTCTGGTGTGTCAGAAAGTGTGAGGATGGTGCAGGATAGAACAGGGTTCAGTTCTTTTTATTCATAGGGTCACTATGAGTTGTACTGGACTCAACAGCACTAAACAACAACAAACAACAGACTGTTGGTAAGCAGTAGCTGTAAGTAGAGTAAAATGGTTTTGGATCACATACTTGGGCTTCAATAACTCCAGATGTAGACCTGCTTAGTACTTGTAATGATTACCCAGAATAAAGAGATGAAGCCTCCCTCACAGCTCTACATTATGCCTAATCAGTCACAGGTTTGCAGGAGGCAGTCACCAGACATACTCTTCCTATTGATCAGGCTCTCTATTTAAGGGAGAGATGACATGGTGGGTAGCTTTAGAGGCAGCTGGTTTTTTTGGGGGAAGTGTTAAGGGTTGAGCATGAGCTACAAAAAATAATAGGGAAAAGAAAGAACCTGCCCCTTGCAAGTCAAATTTTGCCCCAATCCCACCCCTTCTTTCACAGAAATCCATAGAAACCTGTTTTGGGAAAGCTGTAAACTGCATATTCCTTCTTCCAGGATATATCTGTGGTCAAGCGGACAGTGCAAGATAGAGTCCAAGGATGAATGTTCACCGTGCCGGTGACAGTGACAGGTTATTGCGGCAAGATGCCAGCCGCCTAGTGGATGATACTTCAACTGCAACTCCAGAAAAAGAAGCAAGTAGCCTGGTGTCATCTGGTCTTCAGAACCTTCCTTATCCCTTAGGCCCCAGGAGTGATGGTATGCTGATTTGATCTTAACTTAATTTGGGGGTCTTTCTGACACCTATGCATCCACGCTAGCAAAAGGCAGGAATGTACTTAATCTGCATAATTATCCACTTATGTGGCTTAACTTGTATCTCACAGTTATAATGCTGACTGGCATTGAACATCTCCAATTATTTAATCACTTTAGCACATTTAAGTCGGTTATAATGGTGTAAGAGAACTACAAGTTTGACTTCAGGAGACAGATTCAAATCCTCTTCTTTAATGAGATCCGTGCTTTCCTAATCTAAAAAACAAAGATACTGCTAGACTTCCTGACTCACAAGGCGGGTGGATTAATGAGTGAATGAGTGTGAAAACTCTTGCTAGTGGCTAGATTCTTTTTAACTTTTAATAAAAATAATAGGAGCAATATTAATGGCAACTATTTATTGAACACTCATAGTGCTAGGAATTTTACATATATATTCTTTTATCAGGGTAGCAAGTTATGGCCTGTGGGTCATACAAATCTGGCTCACTCTTTTATTGCATTGTAAATAAAATTTTATTGGGGCACAGCGATGCCCATTTGTTTATACACTATTGGCTACTTTCTTGCTGCACTGATAAGAGGTGACCCATAAAGCCTTAAATATTTACTTTTTGACCATTTACAGAAAGTTTGCTGATCCATACACTAATCCTTAGAACAGTCCCATAAAGCCTTAAATATTTACTTTTTGACCATTTACAGAAAGTTTGCTGATCCATACACTAATCCTTAGAACAGTTATTATGCCCCTGTAGAATGAGAAAGCTGAGGTAACTTGTTCATGTTTACCTTGTGAGTATATAGGAAGCTGGGATGTGACTCTATGCTTTACTCACCAGCTATATTGTTACTGTTTCTTCTTTGTAAATGGACAGAAGAGTAGAGAGTAAGTGCTACTCTGAAGCACACAGGTGGGGAGGACTTGTATACTGTGTCCTCCTACTCACCCTTTTAAACTCAGGCAAAACCTGATGTGTGCTTCAGACATCAGTCCCAGTTTAAATTGTTGGGGAGATATCAAACATTGGGGCACCTGAGGTGTAGAAGCCTGTCTGGATAATTAGTTCTTGGTGTGCAGACACAGACCACAGAAAATTATATTTTGAACTATAGGATGTAAAACTCTAATCCAGCTTCCGGCTTAGGTTTTGTGTTCTTAATATCTACAAGTGAATGGGTGAAAGGAATACACTTTGTTGTGTTGTTATGTGCCGTTGAGTAGCTTGGAATTCATAGCGATCCTCTGTACAATAGCTCTGAACCCTGCTCTGTCTTGAGACAACCTTATTGCCTCTGACACACCTACCCCCATTACCGCAGCCACTTAGTCAGTCCATCTCATCGAGGGTCTTCTTCCCTTGTGCTGTCCCACCACCCTCCCAAGCATGACATCCCTCGCCAAGGACTGGTCGCACCTTGCAGCATGCCCAAGTGAATTATCAAGTTATATGAGTGCAGGAAATGAAGCTCATTTTCCAGAGGTCATGAGCAGTAATCATGTTCCTGAATAATTACATATAAAATACATGAGTGAAAGTAAGACATTCAACTGGATCTGTAATATTTTCTTTTGAAAAGAAAAATATGAAAACTGAATATACCAACTAAACTTACCAAATCTAGATGATGGGACATAGATTGTAGTAAGCCTGTATTTCTGTTATGTTTGAAATGGTCATTACCTTATTTTAATACATCAAAATAAAATCTATTAGGAGAATGACCTATTTAAAAGAATCTGGTAAATGCTTTCATAAATACTTCCTCCTGAGGGTCTCTGTACAATTTGGGTTTCATGGATTTAATTTTAGGCCTGTTTTGTATCATATGGTTTGATACATTTTTCAGTGTTTTCACGCACCTTCAGTTGATAATAAACAACCCTCTGAGGTAAGTGGAGTGAAAAGAAACATTGCTTTCTTTCCTTCTACAGGTTAAGGAAAATTAAATAATTGCTTAAAGAAAATGGCTTTTTGGTTGACACTAGAACAAAAACTGAGATTCAATGAATAAATCCTAATCCAGGGTCACTTGCATGGGACATTGCTGTAGAGATTCAGACCTGCCTGTCTAAAAATGGTATAGATGCTGCTAATGAATGGTTTTCCAGGGGATAGTGTCAGTGTATTTCTCTGAATTTCTCGGAAATATTTTGGAGACTATGGCAGTGACACACTGAAATGGAAGGTGCCTTAATAACATACAGGAAATTGGTTAGATGTAGGACTCTTGATAGCACAATCGATTAAACACTTGGCAGCTAACTGAAAGGTCAGTGGTTTGTAAATTACAGTTGCTCCTCGAGTAAAGATGTGGCAGTCTGTCTACATCTGTAAAGATCCTAAACAAGGAATCCCTAGGGGACAATTCTGCTCTGTTCTGTGGGGTCACTATGAATCAGAATCGACTTGATAGCATGTAATAATTTAGAGATAAAAGTGAAAACAAATTATTACAGCTGTAGAACAAAGCTTGAAGAGTTATAGAATGTGATAGAAAAACATGTTTGTTTCCATTTATTTATTTTAATACTATTTGATTATTTTTAAGATGTCCACAGTTTAAATGTTTTAATCATTGTCTTTCACCATTTGAGATTCCTGTCTGTCTTTCTTCCTACATAAAAACACAGATGGGGGACTCTCAGGGCGTCCATCTATGAGTTTATTCATTTACTGTTTTATCTTTAGTTGCTGTAGGCAAGAGTGTCTGCTTGTCAACACCTAAAAGTGCTGTTTGTTTAAAACAAAGCCCTTCCGAATCACCTCAAAGTTTCTTGGTCCCAAGTTATTTTTGTTTGTTGTATGATCTTCTAGACTTTTCACTTGACTATGCCTCTCAGCCAACCAATCTTCAGTTCTCACACGGAATGCCACTTCCTGAAGACATTAAAGGCTCCTGCTTCCAAACTGGAAATAAACGGACCCATGAACCCTTTATTGCACCAGAACGATTTGGAAACATCAGTGCAGGCTTTGGCAATAACTCCCATTCCCAAGCGCCAGAGAAAGTTACGCTTCTCGTAGATGGCACACGTTTTGTTGTGAATCCACAGATTTTCACTGCTCATCCAGATACCATGTTGGGAAGGTAACTGACAGTCATTTCATTCCAGTTTTACTGTGTTCTCTAGAACCAACAGCTCTATCGGCTATTTATCTAAGTACTGGATGTAAGAATAAACGGCATCACGTTGCTCCTTTTTCTACCATCAAACCTTTGTGAGAAAGGGAGGCAAACTGGTTATACTAGTGGTATTTTTAATATTTTTATTTTGCTTACAAAGCTAACTTAATGAAATAAATTTCCCTGAAGGAAGTAAAATCTTACAACTGTGGAAAATAACCTGCTACATTTCTTTCCCTATTTTATCAACTTAATGAAAGCAAAACTCAGATGGTTTCAGTTCTTTTTTCCCCACAATTTGTATAATATCACAGAAGTAATGTTTTCTGATGTGCTGAGATGAGGTGAGATCTAAGTCATGGGAGTTTTGTTTGGGTATTTTGTTTAGTTGTTTTTGCCTTGTTTTCATGAATAGAATTAGAGGAATATTCCACATGATACAGGACCAAGCCCCAGAGGAGAAAAGTGGACCCCTACCACTTAGAAGTATATTTTTAGTTTATTTCAAGATTTAACCTCATTCAGGACTTTGAACTAAACCATAGTGGAAGTCAAACTGAATCACTAATCTGTGAAAAATCCTCATTAAATGGAATTCTGTTATTTTGTGCTAAATATCTGTATTTTTCTCAATCATCTGAATTAAAACAGTTTCCACACTGGTCCTATATTTTATTTATCAAGGTTAATTTCCTGGCCATCATCTTTCTGTCACTACTGTTATTGGCCCCAGAAGAGTTCCCTGGTGCTTTTGGGAGCAGGAAAGGTTATGTGAGATCTTGGCTGTTTAGGTGATTAATTCATCTGTAGAGGTGGGTTGTGTGAATTAGTCAAGTTTGTTCTGTCTTGTGGCTATGTAAAGTAGCCATTGAGCTTACAGATGTGGGCTACTAGTCATAAAAGGGCCCAGTTGAGAGACTTTCAGTGAATTAAGACAATTCATATCATTCCCAGGTAAACTCCTCTGAGCGTAAATGGCGATGGTAATAGATGGGGGTTATGGCATATAATGGTATATGCTGCTCACTGTTCTGATTCACAGCTGTCTCCTCTACACTTGAACCAGACAGTCTTTGAAGACTACTTTAATCCTGATGGCTTTCTTAGGCATGGTGCAGTGATTTGGGAATTTTTTACAGGCCTTTGAAAGGCAGCCAATTTGGAGTAGAGAAGACAGTTGAACATCAGGCCTTCCCAGCAGGTTAAGGAAGGAAATGGACTCATTGACATGAGTCTCTTGGGAAATGAAACCATGCTGGGTAAAGATTCCTGCCTGCTCCATCTTTTGTGCTGGCTTCCCACTTTCAAAACTCAGAGTACAGTGGGAATTACAGAAGTCACAGGGCCAGTTAGACTAGAAGGGATCTGAGAGAAGAGAGGAAGCAAATAAGAAAAGGGAGACTTCCTCCCTGTGCACCAAGACCTGTGAGTTCATGGCAGAGCAGGAATGCTGCTCTGAAATGTGTCACCCTGCTTCTCAGTCCAGCCCGCCCTCATGTGCTAGATGGCATGAGCTTTCCATCATTAGTTTTACTCCTTAGAATGAATAGGGGATTTCCCCCAGAGTTAAACATCAAGTTATGTGCCCCTAATACAGATTTGTGTATCAGATCAGATGTTAAGTGAACCCGATAACAAAATTCAGAAATACTGAGAAATGACATGTTGGATAGGTCAATATTTATGGAAGTAGAGGAAGGAACAGGAAAGGTCAGGTACGTGAAGTACCATCTTCCTGAGCAGGGCAGCTGCCTTAGCAGTGGGCAGGGTATGAAAGGCTCCAGTGGTTTTCCAAGGTTCACCTCCACAGTTGCTATCAAAGAAAACAACACTGCAGGTAAACCATGAAGACTTCGTGCTGCTTCCCTCTTTACACTCAAATATTTGAGGCAACCGCTAGGACCTTCTTTACCTGTCTGAAGAGCTTTCCCTGAGACTTGAATATGCCTAGTAGGATTCAGGTCCCAGAGCTCTGACACTGAGAAAGTTGAGTAAAGTCTTTTAGAGTGAGGCGGCAGGACAAGAAGTCTCCTCACTGAAGGCCTCTGCTGGAGAAGGTAAGCTTGTTGCCTGTGTCTCTTTCAGGATGTTTGGACCAGGAAGAGAGTACAATTTCACGAGGCCCAATGAGAAAGGAGAATATGAGATTGCCGAAGGAATCAGTGCAACTGTATTTCGAACAGTCCTGGTGTGTAGTAGTCTTTTTGCCACATTTTCTTCCCTGAGGCATGAGCCCCATCAGTCTGTGTTATACTTACATTGGATCCCTGGTCTCTCTCAGTTGCCTTTCTCTCCTTTTCTGTTCCTGTAGCCTTTAAATTCTTGATTCTCTAAGTTCAGTCGGATGACAAGTTTTGATTCCACTTGTCAGGAAAGCAGGAAACTCTTACCATTTAATATATTCTCAATTTGGTGACACTTCCAACAATTGGCACATTTACAAAATCAAGCAAGAACGAATAGAGTAACAGAGGTAATTTCTCATCTTGTTCTTTGCCTACATTTCTTCTTCCTGCTCTCTACAGGATTACTACAAAACTGGAATCATCAATTGTCCTGATGGCATCTCTATTCCAGACCTCAGAGATACATGTGATTATCTTTGCATTAACTTTGACTTCAACACCATCCGGTGTCAGGATCTGAGTAAGTACTGGAGGAACTGTCAGTAGCATTTACTATTAATTTGCTTATAATTAACTGACATTTTCTTTTCTTTTCATTTTCTATTATTAAAAAGATGTAGTTTCAAGTGTGGGTTAAAAGTCACCTTTAAAAGCAAAGCTGTGATACTAATGAACTCATTCCTTCTCTTGTCTCAAAGGACTGAGAAATTGGAGTAAACAACTGAAAACAGGTAGTAGATCTTAAATGTAGCTTGACCTCTGAGTCACCAAGCTAATTGCCATTTCTTCTCTCATGATTTTGGTGTGTGTCATTCATCATTTAACAAACAAAGATACTGATTCTGAAAAATAAGGAAAGGCTCACTTAGAGTCAAGCTATATAAATTAACTGGAATTTTGTCTTTATTTTTAACTCTGTTTATTAAACGCCTTACAGATATGGACTTGCTTAAATCTTTTTAACAACTGTGAAGCATTGGTGATAAAACCATATTTAACAAATACAGCAGAGTTTATCTGCTTTGATGGATGTGAGCATTAAAGGTTGAATTTAGAACTCAGATAGCCTCACTGTGTCATGCTCTTACTGCTATCTAGGCTTCCTGAAACTTTTTAATACATTTTATTCTTTGAAGTTGGTATTTACTAGATGTTATCAAGTTGATTCTGACTCAGTGACTCTGTGATAAAGTAGAAAACTGTCCCATGGGGCTTAAAGGCAGTAGTCTTTAATCTGAGTTGGTAGTAAGAAACTGTGCTGCAATCCCAAAGGCATACAGTTTGAATCCACCAGCTGTTTCATAGGAAGAGGATGGGCAGTCTCCTGTGCGATTTACTGCCTCTGTAAGCTCACTGGAGGCTGAGCTACTAGTCATTTCCAGCTTGAAAGCATACCACCACAACAGCAGTATTGCTGCAGCTGGTTATCAGCTCTTTCTCCTGTAAAGCTGCCAGTTTTTAGGTTAGCTGCCAAGCACTTAACCATTTGTGCTACCAGAGCTCTTTATTCTTTGATGCCTTCTTCTATACGTTCAGGAAGGCCTCTGGGCATTCTCTCCTGGCAGCCCAACAAGCTTCTTGGTGTCTCCAATCCAGTGTCTCCAGAAATCAGGGTCCAGAGCATCTTCATAAGAGCTACTACAAAGAGTCATTCCAAGTGATGGTTCTGTCTCTTGGAGAATTAATGTGGTCTTAATCTGACACTGAATTCCCAACAAAACCTCAGGTGATCAAAATGTTCCAGGAATTCTTAACCTTAAATGAAGAGTGGCAGAATATACAGCATAGCTGATAAAGTAAGCTTAATTTATCACCTTGGGACAGGAAACAGTGTCTTTGCCTTGAAACAGGCCACTTCTTGACCTTGTCTGATAGCAGCTATTACCTGAGTCTTTTTTTTTCATCCCCCAAATTTGTGCATGTAGGCAGAAAGGATGCTAACCTGCATTTTCTCTCACCAGGTGCTCTCCTGCATGAACTCTCTAATGACGGTGCTCACAAGCAGTTCGATCACTACCTCGAAGAACTAATCCTGCCCATCATGGTGGGCTGTGCCAAGAAAGGGGAGCGAGAGTGCCACATTGTTGTGCTGACAGATGAGGATTCTGTGGACTGGGATGAAGACCACCCCCCACCCATGGGGGAGGAATATTCCCAAAGTAGGTGCCACTACTGCATAGATGTTTTCAGCAGGAAACACACACTGCCCTACAGAATAGCAGTTAGAACTGGCATAAGTCACACATGCATCTGGATGAGTGCTAGTGATGACAAGTCTGCCTGACGACCTTCATGCGGGGGAATATAGTAAATATTACACAGTCCACCCCACCACTCATGTCTAGTGCTAAATGTGTCAGATAATGAGATGGTACAATAATGGTGATTTCATTCTTGATTTAATTTTAAAATATTTCTCATTGGTAATAATACCAAGTTCAGGAACTACAAAACGCTACAGTTCTTGAAAAATATTCCTCCCACAGACCTTTTCACCAGGCTAACCTCAATTTCCTTTACATCCTTCTAGTATTCTCAGTGTACCTGTTTCAGTAATATATCATATTTCTTTCATTTCAAATGTTACTATATCTGAACCATGATATACTATATATTGGGGTGCTCTAATGGCCTAGGGGCAAGAAGCTGCTCTGCAGTCTCGAGGCATGCAGTTCAAGGCCACCAAGCCACTCTGTGGGGAAAGTATGGGCAGTCTCCTCCCGTGTGATTAACTGCCTCTGAAAACCCCCCCAGAGGGTCAGCTGTGGGTCGGTTCTGACTCTACGGTATACAACAACATATTAAATACTGTCCATATCATGTCTTAGATTTAAAATCTCCTTGTACGTTTTCATTGCTGCGTAATATTTCTTTGCAATACACACATTTAACAAGTCTGCTGGTGGACGTTTAAACTATGCCCAGACTTCTGTTAGAAATGCTGCACTGGATATTCTTTTATATAGTGTTATCACACATTTATTTTTAGAGATTAATTTCTAAAAATAGGATTTGTCTAAAGGTTTGTATTTTTCTAATTTCAAGAGATGTTGTTAAAAAGGTTCTCCACAAAGATTGTGCATATTTACACTCACAAAAATGTGACAGCTTTGTCCCCTATAGCTGCACCAGTATTGCTAGTCTGGTAGGTTAAAAAAAATTGCATTGAGTCTTAATTTGCATTTCTCATTTCACGAGTAAGGCTGAACATCTTTAATATTAAAAAGCCATTTTCATTTCTTTCTCTATGAAGTATTTGTATCTTTTGCCCCCACACATTACAAAATGGGATTGTTCATTTTTACATATTTGTATCAACTCTGTGTATCGGCCTTGTAATGAGCATTGTGACTGTTTTTCCCATTGGGGGGTTTGTGTTTTCCATTTGAGTTGTGGTGGTGGGGACTCTGCAGAGATGTGCAGTTTCACATCATCAGCCACAGACAGAAGGACCGCCATCATGGGCCTCTAATTTCTCTGATTTCTTTTTTATTCTTACGGTTCATTAATTTATGTAATGGTTAATCCTTGATTCATTTGATTTTCTTTGGCATCATGGGTAAGGCGTACCTTTCATTAGTGTGAATCTGCTATCATGTTCTTATGGAATGCATTATGACTAACCTTTTTTATCCTAGTTCTTTATAGCTCTAAGCTCTACAGATTTTTTAAATACATTGAGAATCGAGATGTTGCAAAAACAGTGTTGAAAGAACGGGGCCTAAAGAACATTCGCATCGGAATTGAAGGTAAGTAAACCCCAGCCCACTCACTGCTCAGGCCGCACGCCCATGGGGTAGGGCACATCCTGTGGCAGCTGGGCCTGTCCTTACAGCGGCTCAGTGGTGAGAGGTCCAGAGACCAGCACACTTTAGAAAGTACTTTCCTATTCATGTTTAAACAACTTTTGTTCTCATTCACACTGTCCCCCACCCCCAAGTTGAAAAACATTTAACAGCCTAGGAATAAGTTCTGATTTTCCACATGAGAATAGAGAGCAGAGAAGGCAGAGGGCAGTAGTGGGTAAACAGCAGGCTTCTGGTCTCAGATCTGCAGGTAGTCTTGACAAGGCCTTTTCTGAGATCTCCATAGGTCCTTCTGGGAATTCTTTTTACCCACTGCATTCGTTGGAGGAGCATCTTGGTGTACTGACAGAGCCTCCTGTGCACTGAACCCCCGCTGGTGGTCCCAAGGCTTGGGGAAGGGTCACAGAGACTGATTGTTGGAGGGGCTGAAGCTACCTGCTCTCTCCTCCCCCAGTTTTTGTGACTCTTTTTTAAACTATTCTGCCATCTCATGCTTATCTACAGAACGCATCAGACCTTCACTGTGTCTGATTTAGGTTAAAATTTAAAATTGGATGAGACTCTGAGGCTATTTAATAACTTTGCAGTGTGTCCTTTTCTCCTGGGAAACAGGACACACTCCCACCCCACCCCCACTCCCACTGCCCCAGACAGACCATCAGAGTGTAGAGAACCCTTCACATGTCTCACAGGTAACCCCCCCTGCTTTTCTGGTTCTAGCTTTGCTGGTTTCTTCCTTCATGTCATTTGTTCCAATATTGCAGGTAGTATTCTGTGTTTTGACCTAATATTCTACATTTCTGTAACTCTTCCTCACCTTTCACCCAATCTGTCCTCTAACCCATTGCCACTGTTTCCACTATGACTCAGCTACCCTGTGGTCTAAAGAACCAGAAGAGGACTAAAGTAGGCATGCCCTAGAAGGATTTTTCTTGTATGGAATAACAACTCATAAAATGAGTCAGATGCTTCTCTTCTTGCATTCGCTCTCACTCATTAGGGTTGAGCTGGGACTGACTCATGGTTGACCCTCCCGATCGCCCAGGAGGAGGCAGCCATCTTTCCTCCGGTGGAGCGGCTAGTGGTTCAAACCTTTGAGTTGGCAGCCAAGCTCCTAGCAGACTACACCACTGGGCCTCCTTCCTCTTCCATCAGGGGGGTAGAATTCTTGTTGCTTCCCTTAGTTTAGCACTGTCTAGGAACAAGACTTATTAGCTTGAGTAGGAGGGAGGCAAGCAAATATGTAGCTGGAGTTGGAAGAGCAGAGAACTCCCCAAATAGTTTTCATGTGAATGTAGGTGTGAGAGGAAAGTGATGTGGTTAGGAAGGAGAAAGTGCAGGAAGGCAGAGTGAGTGATTGGTCCTTTTCACTGTTTCAGGTTATCCTACATGTAAAGAAAAGATTAAGAGAAGACCTGGTGGCCGGTCTGAAGTAATCTACAATTATGTACAGCGCCCTTTTATCCAGATGTCATGGGAAAAGGAAGAAGGGAAGAGTCGTCATGTGGATTTCCAGTGTGTTCGAAGCAAATCCCTCACTAATTTGGTAGCTGCTGGAGAAGATGTCTTGGAAGACCAGGAGATACTAATGCACCATCCGCCCCAAGTGGATGAACTTGATCGGCTAAATGCCCCACTCTCTCAGATGGCTTCTAATGACTTTCAGGATTAGGGCCTGCGCTGGGTCTCCTCTTTCTGGCTGGTTTGTCTCACTCTTGAGGAAGGGACGTGTTTTTCCTCCATCCTTTTCCTTTCTCCATAATTAATGTGTGTCCTTTCAAGTTCTTACCTCCATGAGGAAGTTTTGTGGTTTTGGTTTGTATTTTTGTTGGGTTTTTTTATTTTGTTATTTTTTTAAAGCAGCACTGGTAATTTAGCTACCAGCTTTGCAGCAGCCCTGGAAACTTGAAAAATTTGGGTTCTGGTGCTGTTCACTCAGTCTTTTCATAACTGAAAAACAGGAAAGTAAGTTTAAGGCTCCTGTTGCTTCCTATTCAGCAATGGAATCCTCATCCTTTACATTCAGTTCTTGGGTGTTACTTGTTTTGTTTTATACGGTGTAAGTCACTTAGTAGCAAAGGGACCAAACGTAAAAGGACAATCTGTTATCTCATGGATGCAAGCTTTGATGGGGTGGGTCGTTAGAGGTTATGAGAAAGCCTTTCCAGGAAATGGTTCCCGCACCCACTGCATCTGGGAAGAACAAGGCACTTGTTCAGAATGTCTAACAGGAAAACCTTAACAACTTAAATTCAGTACTTTTCATCAATGCAGTGAACAATCCACAGCCACACAGATAAAATGTTTGGCAGGAAGGGTAAAGGCATAACAGTGTCAAACCATTTGACCTTCAAGGTTTTTGAGTCTTAACAGATTCATATGAAATGAAACTCACAACTTGAACCTCTACAAATGAAGCCACTCAGATCATCCTAGCTGTGAAGTTATCATTCTTAGGGGCTGGGGCAGCACAATGCTGCAAATGTGACTCGAAGACCATGGATGCCACATGAAGGCTTTCAGAATGTAGGCAGAAATGGCCCACTGGACTGAATGAAAAGACATGAGAACTAGGAATAGGTTAGTATCACTTGCTTAGCTGAACCTATGGAGGCATTTTCTATGGATATTTCTTTCAAACCACAGTATTTTTCCTTAATGCTAATTCATGTGAGTTTTTTTTTTTTTCATGTGAGTTTTTTAAAATAACCGGTCAGCTGCTTATACATCAAGTAAGAAAACAGTATCATCCTTAAAATATGAATAGAGACCTAAGCCACTTTGAGCTGTGTGTTCTGTTAGCATTAAGACCCCAAACTGCTCTCCCCCCAGGTCCCACAGACAGTATTGAACCACCTTCCTTTGAAGTTAACAGCAGAGCTGGCTTAAGAGATAGTCAGCACTTCGGGGACCAAACAGTCCACAGCTAGATGTGTCTTGATGTTACATCCCTATTTGTGCTGTAAATTTGTGTCCCAATCAGCTATCCAGGACTTTGATTAACCATAAATTGTGAACAGGCACAATTTCATTCAGGTTTTAAATATGTGGCTTTGATTTTCTTCTATTCCATTTCTGTAAGATGTGAGAGGACAAGTTATTTGATTCTATTTTATGACCCTCAGTTATTCTCCAAAGATAAAATCAAGATACTTTTTCCAGGCTTGAAAAGGGACTTACTCAAAAAGGGAAATAGTTAGGATTAAAGCAAGCCATCTCAGAACTATAGAGGTCTTCTGATTAACTATCAGCTACTATTTACAAGGCTAATGGCTGGGATTAAGGACCCCCTTAACTTAAAGATAGTTTCTCTTTATGTGAAAACCAATTGGCTGTGTCTGTGTTCCAGTTAGGTATTGACCTTACCATTACCCCATTCTCTTATCAACTGGCAGTTGACCAGTCTTATAATTGTTTAATGGTGCTTTCTTCACCCTTCTCAGTGGACACTTCCATCCCATTACAGAGGAATCCAGTCACCTGTTCTGGTGTTAGGAATTGTATCTTAGTATTTTTGCTATGTGTAACTACCCCTCAATTTGTAGTGTATGTGTTGCTAACATTAAGTGTAAACACTCCACTGCTAGCACTCTAATATGTAGCCTTTCCATCAGTTGGAAGCCAGGTATGAAAGGAAGGTCTGGACTGGACACCTTGTTCCATGGAAAGGATCCATTTCTCTGGCTTTCAAGAACTAAGTCTTATTTTTCCTCAGTTTAGATTAACATGCTTTTGGTCCCAACCCAGGAGGTTTGAGTTGGAAATAATGTGGTAAATCTCTGCCTGTGTCATGGTGACTTGGGGAGCCCCTCCCTCCCGCCTGGAGCCCAGCATCACCACAGCTAGGCAGTTCCACTCGGCTGTGACATTCAGCAGTGGCTGGGCTTCTCAGTGGACAAGGGCTGGGTCACGCCCTTCCATGTCAGTCAGTGGCCACTTTTTTAAAAAGAAAAAGGTGGAAATGAAGTTTGATGGGGTTTTTTTTCTAAGTGCCTAGAAAATTAAGCCAAACTGTTTATACTGACACATTTTCTTAGGAAAATGGTTTTACCCAGAATATCTAATTCAGAGGCCTCTGAGCGAGCCACGATGACCCTGAATGAAGTTCAGAGTCCCGTGTGTGTGTGTGTGTGTGTGTGTGTGTGTGTGTGTGTGTGTGTGTGTGTGTGTTACCAAGAATATTAGGAACATTTGCCTTTGAGCAGTTGAGGAAAGGGTGAGGGGTCAGTGATCAATATATCAGGTGATTTTATGGGTTCTCCAAAGTAGGATAGCTCTAGAGAAAATAGGTTCAAACAATGACCACAAAAATGGTAAACTAGAAAGCAGCTGGATTTCCTGTGCAATGTTGCAGTGGCCAGTGCTGAACTCAATTTCATGAACCATTTGCAAGCTAATGTGTGTAAGTCTATGTAATTCTGAGGAATAAGCCCAGAAACACTTGATATACTTGCAAACCATATCCCAAAAGGGAAGTTCAGAACATGGGCTTAACCTGTTTTAATGTGATAGAAAATTGGGGATTTTAAAATCAAGTGTCAGAAATAATCAAGAGATTTTAGTAATTTGTTCAATGCCACTTCTTGCCATCATTTTGAAATTGTTAACAATAGTAGGCCCGGGAAGCAAACCTGATTCTGACTTGAATGAAGGAGCCACACTGTGTCCTGGGTGGGATCGTCTCTGGAGAAGATTACATTTTCCCTTAAAGGCAAAAGGCCCATCAGCTTTGCCTTTTATTTTGTATTTACTTTTAAAGCTGCACTTGTTCACATACCAGTGTTTACGAAATCCTGTATTTGGGATGCTTTTTCTATAATTAAAGTATTATCATTTGTGTGTGTGTGTGTGTGTGTGTTCTTTATAAAAGTAGCCAGTCAGATGTTACAGGAAATGTAAAGAAGTGCCCAGGCTACTTGAGAGCTAACTTCCCTGAGGGGGACATGGGAGTCGCAGTGAGCCTGTGTGTGCTCTCCCCACCCTGCATTCCCTGTACCTCACAGTGACCAGAGTGTTTATGGTCAGCCCTTTCTTGAGTCCTGGCTCGCTTGGCATTCAGAATCCCTTGAGTGCTTGGCAGTTCCTCTGTATGACTAAATTAATAGGATGTGTAACCAAATGTAAATTTAAAAGAGCCATGAACTAATTATGGCTAAAGCTGGAGAGGATCAGTGATAGGCAAGGCAGATAATAGGGGCTAAAGGGAGTCCTGGTGTACTCTCAAAACACTAGAGAGCATTTTCCTCATGCATTGGTTGGTATGCTTTTGCTTCACTCTAGTGACAGGTGGGTTGCCTCAGTTCACAGCCTGGGAGCTTACTGGGGATGCTGATCACCTCAGAGTGCTAAAACAAGCCACCTCTTCTTAAACGGCACAAGAGTTAAGAAATGGCCAAGAACATTCTGAAGACATGGCCTACACAGAGTAGCTCCAAAGTATTTGGACATACAAACATAAGCAGTCTTGGTCACTGAGGAAGTCCCAATGGATGGAGTAACCAAGTTTTGCTGTATAGAAGCCAAGTCATGAAGGAAAACTATTAGGTGACTTGGATTTATAGTTATGGAGGAGATGTGCCAGGTAGACTCTGTGATATGATTGATACAAAAGTGACTTTACAGTCACCAAGGAAGAGGATAGGGTGACAAGGATAAGGCTGGGCCAGAGTCATGAGAGACTAGTAGTTCAGACGAAAGTGTTGGACTTTAGAGCCCTAATGGGCAAAATGACATCAGATTTGGAAACTTAAGCTTAAAAGAGAGGACAAAGTCAGCTAAAAGACCATGGCAAAGCACAGAGATGCCAGACTGGTGGATGGCAGAGCCTGAAATGTTTTGAGGGTCATTTAAGAAGGCTGATATTTCTGGCTTCGACAGCTGGGTAGAATGATTTAGGGTTTTAAAAAAAGCTGTGAAGCAAGAGGAATTCCATTTAGACAATTTAGTTTGAACTTCGAGACCTTGTGCCAATGGCACCTGGCTATATGGTATCTAGAATTTTGGAGCAGTGTTGGTCAGAGATGCTGGAGACCTCAACACATTGTGGTAGTTGAGGGAAAAGATGACAAAGGAAGCTCTGAGCACTAGTAGGAAGTGGGCAGAAAAAAGTTTAGTGTTGTCAAGTACAGCTGGTTGATCAGGTAAGATGAGGACTAGAGAGAATCCACTAAATAAGGCAGTTACAGTGGGGACTAGTTAGTACGAATTCTAATGCGTACTCAGGATATTTAATAGTAACAATTCACACTCACATGGGAAAGGGAAATGAGATAGCAGAAGAGGCTGCAGGGGTGTCCCTCACACATTCCACAAAGCAGTGTTTTCCGCTCCATGCCGGTACCCATAGCAAAAGACTGGCCTCCAAAATTTTAGAATTTCAGCCTCCCTCTGCTAGATCACTACTACTTGAAGAAAAATCCAGAGTACTCCCTATGGCCCTCACAGCTCTGCACTGGCGTGACAGTACTTCACAGCCAGTGCTACATTCTATGAAGCCACTTAGTGGTGGGTGTTCTCAAACTGACTGCAGTTCAAAACCATAGTGGGTTCCCTCATGCATCTCAGAATGCCATTATTGAGCTCCACATTATAGATGGCTTTATTTGAGAAAGGTTTTTTAAGTCAATGCCAACACTGACTTTAACATTAATCTAGGGACACTGAATCCTTGAGTTAAAAAAATCCTTTTTGAATTCGGCT